GTTTGCAAGACTCATCTGGCTCCAAATCCAGAATCTTTGCTAGAGTAAGAGATAGAGAATCAGAGGTCGATGGTAGATTTTAGAACCCAGGGGTGTGGACTGAGCTAGCAGCCACCAGGGTTCTGGGAGAGACTCAGCCAATGGCCTATAGGGCTTCTGAGACCTTCTTGTTATAGCGCTCCCTGTCCACTGGGTGGCACTGTGGGATGGCAAGATGCAGGGGATAGGCGCTAGTGAGTGTGTGTGTGTGTGAGTGTGTAGATATCTCTCTATATATATTTTTTACCCCCAGCATCCACTCTGAGGACTGGAACCAGGATGTTGGAGACTTGGTTGTGCAGAGTAGTGGTCCTGGCCCCAGCTTCAGGGCCAGCAGATACATCCTGAGAAAAGGCATGCTTTGATGTATGGGCCTGAAGACAATGGGAGCCTCAATCTCCTACTCAAGTGAGACAAGGGTGTCTGAAGGATAATTTGAGCACACCTTCTCAGCTCCAAACGCTCCTTGTGGATCTAGAGTCTCCCTCCCACTCTCAGTGAGAGCTCTGGACTGGGTAATAATTCCCCAACCTACCCCACAAAAGCTATGAGAGGGCCGTGCAGCCCAAAATACCACTCAGCCTGCTTAGCCTGGCCCTTTATAACCAAACAGAGCAGGCTCAAAGCCAGGCTAGGTCAGAGGCCATTGCTAACCTGTGAAGGCATGTCACCCAGAAAGCAGTAGGCCCCAAGTCTGTCTTCCTTGCCTCCTGCTGGTGTGGTGAGGGAGACACAGAAAAAGGAACACAGTGTGCCTTACCCTGCAGGGAGGGACCACTTATAAGTAGGATAATTGTAAGACCACAGGAGACTGATCATGGGTCCAGATTGCAAGGTATCCACAGAATGCTAGATGCGTTTTACCAAAAAACCCTACTGAAATAAATTGTTAACTCGATGATTCAAACTGATCGTCTATCAAAAACCACACTGTCACCGGGTAGTAGTGGCACAAGCCTTTAATCCCAGCACTTGGGAGGCAGAGGCAGGCAGATCTCCACATGGAGTTCCAGGCCAGCCTGAGCAAGTTCCAGAGCAGCAAGGGCTACACAGAGGACAGAGGAACCCTACCTCGGAAAACAAAACAATGACAACGAAAAGGATTTGAGAACGAGAAAACACACATACAGCATCTCACATAAGGCTTTTAAAATACGCACAGGAAACAGCATTTTGACATCAGAACCAGTTACTTTCTACCATTAAAATTGCAACAAAAATCTGAGATGGGCTGAGGAGATCCTGAAGTTCAGTTTCTAGAACCCATGGCGAACAAAAGGCCTTGTGCAATAGTTGACATTTGTAATTCAGAGCTGAGGCAAAGGGAGACCTGTGGGTCCTGGGGCTTGCTAGCCAGCTAATGTGGGGAACTCTAAGACAGTGAGAGGCCCTATTTCAAAACAGGTAATGTGAACAGCTATTCATAGTGACACCCAAGGTGGTTTTTCTCTGGCAGACATACACACACTTGTAAACACACACACACACACACACACACACACACACAGTATGGCTTCCAAAGTCCTGCCCAAGTTACAGGTATATCTGTGACTCTTCAAATTTTTGTACAATGTAGGTACATGTGTGTGCGTGTATATGTGTCTGCATGTGCATGACTGGCCAGACAGATCTATAACACCTGCAACCTTGTGTTTGGGAAACCTGGAAGAAAGCAATATTTCAGAATTGATGCATGTCAGAAAAGCCAAGGAACTTCGGCTTGTGATGCTTGTATTCTACAGAAGGGGAGGAGACAGGCTCAAGGGATTGACCCTGTAAGCTGCAAGAGCCAGGTGCACAGACAATTTAATGAAATTGGCCGTGAGGCTTGCCTTCGCCTGGTAGGTAAAACCTCCAAAGGTCAGGGGCAGAAGCACCACAGGCAGTGGGATATCAGCCTGCCAAAACGACTCAGACCTGCCACCCCAGCTCTTGGGAGGTCCAGTGGGGAGGGTCAGGAGTTCAAGGCCAGTCCAGACTACATGGATCCTGTTCCAAAATAAATAAATTGAATTAAAAGCAACCCACACAAGGAAAGGAAAGAGGTGGAGATCGTCTTTTTTTTCCTTCCTGGGATAATTGTGGGGAAGGGGTGACCCCCATTATGGATGACCAGCACAGGCCATGAGGGACATACTTAAGGTGCAGGTGCTGGCTTCTACCTTCTCCAATTGTTTTTTTTTTTGTTTTTGTTTTTGTTTTCCGAGATGCGCTTCCCTTTATATCCCTGGCTGTCCTGAAACTGTAAACTAGGCTGGCCTCGAACTCAGAGATCTGACTTCCTCTGCCTCCGTAGTGGAGGCTGGTGAGAATTCATCTTATTAAAGCTCCTTTTAATATGTATTGTTTTGATCTTTCTCTGTTTGCATCCTCAGTAGCAGACCCTGGTAAACCCTCTTCATCCAGAGACTACTACTAGGGCCCACACCTGGCCCCCTGAAGCCCTAGGCTTGATTCCCAAGCTCAACAGAATGCTAACTCTTAGCTCTCGCCACCTGCAGGCAGAAGCAAGAACTGCAGGCAGGTTGCTTTGTGCTCTGCTTTGTCCTAGGGCTCTGGCAAAGATCCCTTTGGGCAGCAGGCTGATGACCCTGACTGAGGACCGTGGTGTCCTCGGGACACCGTACTGTAGAGTCCTCTGCCACTTTCCTGACTGCTAGTACTCTGGTAACTCTGCATCTAGTAGACAACTCCGGCCACGAGATGCTTAGTGTTGATAGGCGCGAGCAGCTCTGTTTATGACACTTACTGCTGTTTTTCTCATCTGCTTCACTCTTACTTTCCAAAGTCCCCACCCCCGCCTCAGCTGTCCCTGTCATCGCATGTTCAAACAAGCAGAAATTGTGGAGCCAGCCTTGTTTTCCTTTTGGGATAAGAACCCTCCACACAGATACTTCTCTTGTGGCTGATGGAAGCTTTAAAATGCCTGCTGATTCCAGGCTAGCCCCAGCTCATCTCCTGAGGACCGGTATGGACCAAGCTTTCCCTACAGACACTTGTGGCACCATGATAGAGCATTGGGGGGAGGGGGTGTCTGGCCTTGGAGTGAATCCATTTAAAAATGCTCCCCATCAGTCTGGCTGATCTGGAGAGAAGGAGGGAGGAAGACAGAGTAAGTGTGGGCTATGCTCTTGCTAGTACGCCAAAGGCTTTCGATCCACTCCTTCAAGAACTGTGGCAGGGCCTACAAGATAGTTCAGCAGGTAAAATATGCTGGTTGCCAAGCCTGAGGACCTGAGTTCAACCTCCAGAACCTACAGGGTAGAGAGAACCAGCTCCCAAAAGTTGTCCTGTGATTTCCACATGTGCACAGTAACACATACACATTATATATGTATGTATATATATGTATATATATAATGATATTTTTAAAAGCACACATTTTTACTTTATGTGTATGATTGTTTTGGCTGTGTGTATATATGTGCACCACATGTGTGCCTCGTGCCGCAGATGCAGAGGGCCTCAGATTCCCTGGAACTGGGTGGTGAGCCGACATGTGGGTACCGAGAACGAAGCTCTGCCTCTCCACAAGAGCAGCAGCAAGTGCTCCTAACTGCTGAGCCATCTCATCTCGCTTGATCCAATTTTTTAAGAAACAAAAAATATATGTGTAAAGAACTGGAGCCAGCTGTGCTGACTCACACCTTTAATCCAGGAAGCAGAGGTCAGCAGAGCTCTGTGAGTTCTAGTCCAGGCTGGTTTACATCGTGAGTTCCAGGACAGCCAGAGCTACCCCTGATTCCAAAACAAAACAAAAATAAATAAATTAGAATTTACGGTCTGGTGCCCCAAAACACACAAAGTCCGGTTCAAACCTTGGAGGATTCAATAAACTGCCCAGTCTCAACAGGTGAGGCAGTCAAGATGTCAGAGCCCAGTGTGACTCAGGTCTCACACGCTTACAATTGGGCTGCAGTGACTTAGGACGCAGCCCTAAACATGAGCTTCAGACAGACCCAGAACCAGGCCCAGCCCAGCCCAGGGAAAGAACAAACGTTTTCCAGCTGGTGTCAGCTTGAGAGCCCAGCACTTTCCACACCCGAGTCCTTGAAGCGGTGCCCTCTCTCCTGAGGAAACAGATGCCCTTGGGGCTCCCCTGGACCCCACTTGGCAAATTAAGTCCGGACCAGGCAAAGCTCTCCAACAACTCAACTCCCAGGGAGGCCTTGAAACACCAGACCAGACATTTAAAAAAAAAAAAAAAAAAACCTGGCAGTATTCTAGAGACGGGATTAGATCATTGCAGCAGGATGAAGGAAACGAGGAACCTAGGGAGGGGTGGAGGGACTGAGGCCAAGAATGTCTCAAGACAGCCCCAAACGCCTTCAGATTAAAGCAGGCTCATGAACCAGCAGCTGAGGCCACTGCCAGGAAGGCCTGGCCTCACTCAGCTATTGGGGCGGGGCGGGGATAATCGGGTCCACACACAATGAGCACACTCACAAGTCAACAAACCAACCCTGGGAAGGCAGTGAGTATGGTAAATACGTCTGGGCACTCTGTGTACACACAAAATTCAACCGCACAGACACATGTGTGCGTGCAGAAGGCCGGGCCTGGCGTGCAAGCCCATGGGAGTGATGTGTGTGTTTGCGTGCAGTCTACAAACATGTTTTCACAAAGCTCGAGGGAGAAGCAATCATTCATCTCCCAGGACTCTTAGCAACAGCCATCCCCAGAAAAGGCTCTGCCAGCTGGAGCAGGGATGAGTCAGCAGAGGGCCTGTGGGGGAGGAGCCACCCAGCCACTGGCCTGGCCTCTCCCTTCTCCCGGGAAGGTCTCCAGGCCTAGCCTGGCCTGGCTGCTGCGCCTGGGTCACAGCTTTGGCACTGGTGGCCGAGAACACATTCCTGGAACTGGCCGGCACAGGCGGCCAGAGGGCTTTCCCTCCTCCTCTTTCTCCTTCCCCCTCCAGCCCCGCCCCACACCCGCCCTTTTATTTTTCCTTCTTGCTGCAGAACCAAAACACCGTGTTCACTAGCTCTGGAGCTGGAGCCAAATGGCAAGCGTAGAGGGGTTGGACACAGGAGCTGCCAGGCCCAAGCAGGCCAGGGAACGAGGACACCTCCTGCCAGCTGCCCAGGGCCCAGCGAGGGGATGTTGGGCTCTGCTTCCATCATCTATCAGGGCAAAGGGGTCATTGCCCAGGGCTCCTGGGAGCAGAGTTCAAGGTGATGGCTGCCAGGGGAGTAGACTGTGTGGCTCAACCTGAGCCATAGCTGAGCCTGAGGTTGCTAACATGACAGGGGACAGTGGCCGGAGGAACAGAAAGAAAGATTCATCATGACGTCATTGCCCGAGAGCATCAAGTTCACCTTCACAGCATGCTCGGGAGTGGCAGAGCCGACTCTGTCTCTTAGGGATGGGAGATGAAGAGGCAGACACTGAGGCAGGGGGCCCAAGGTCGGCACAGACACTAGGTGCTAGATGAAATGAAATCGGGCTAAAGTCGACTTGGATTAAGCTTTCTCCTCAGATTCCACCTACCCTCCCTGGGCCAGATCCATAGCACCCACAAAAAAATAAACAGAACAAAAACAAAACAAAGCGCTGGAGATATCCCTTATCCCTCAAACAGATCTTAAGGAAGAGCCAGCCACCAGCCTCTCTGCATGGTGATGGCTGTCGTCAGCAGGGGCAGTAACAGCCCAGCCCAGCCCAAATCCCTGGCCTTTTTACTGGAGGCAGGAAATGAATAAAAGCTAAATGAGTTTGGAAATGCCAGGAGGCAGTGTTTACCCCCTTCCCCCACCCCCTCCCCTTGGCAAGGACCGTGTAAAGTTACAGTTTAATCTTGGAAATGCCAGACAGCTGTTCCCCGTTGCTAAGAGACTGGCCCACATTATGCAGATGTCAGGGACCTCAAATGTCTGCCGGAAATTACTGATCATGTTGGAGGAGCAGAGGGGCCTTCTCTGGGCCCGGGGAAGCGCAGCAGGAGACCCCCTGGGGATAGCAGAAATAAGGAACCCACCCCTCCCTGCCTCCTCCTCAGATTCTCTGGAACCTCGACTTCAGGCACTGGTCCTGGCTCCTGGCTCCCTTCTCTGTTCCCTACCACATCCCAGCCTTTATCCTAACAGTATCAAGTGGACTGGCCCCCATCTCCACCCCCCACCTCCAGTTTTCCTTCTGGGACAGCTTCTGTTCAGCGTCCCTCTGTCTTCTGGCCTTCTCTGCTGTCCCAGACTGACCAGGGTGGAGGCAGCTGCCACGGGAGGAGGGTGCTCTTCCACTCCATGAGCCCTCCTCACCTGAAACTGGAAGTAGGCATAGTGTGCGCGCACACCACACTCTCCCCAACCTTCCCCGTCCAGAGGAAACCCAAAGGAGGGCCATCACCATGGCTACCAAGCTGCTGCATCACTGGTCCCTAGGGAAGGGGAGCTGCCATCTGGGCAAGGGGTGGAAGGAGCAAAGAAAAGCCTCTTCCCACACTTTCATCAGGGCCCGGGGTGGGGGTGGTGCAGAAAACAAGTGGGGTACAGAAGGGCACAGGACTGGCTGCCAGGCAAGGCCAAGGCAGCCCATAGCACCTGCAGGGTCTTCAGAAACACCCCTAGGTATCACTGAGTCCGAGGGGGGAGGCCTGAGAACCTGGCCATGGTGGTGACAAACTACTGCTACTCTCCTGAGAGCACACAAGGTGCCTCAAGGGCAAAAGTGACATCTCTTTGTCTGTGTATCCAGGTGGCACCTGACCTTCATCTTCCACCAGCAGCAAAGCACCAACCCTACACAACGAAGACAGGCATGCTTTGTGTGCTGTGTAAGATGGTTCTAGAGATAATGGCGTGGTGTGTGTGTGTGTGTGTGTGTGTGAGAGAGAGAGAGAGAGAGAGAGAGAGAGAGAGAGAGACTTTGAAATCAAGGTCTCAAAAACCCAGTGAAAGAAGTCTTAATACCATCTATTTCCATCCCAAAGTCTCTGGTGGGGTGCTGGGAAGAAAACCAATGGCTTCCTTTGTTTGCCAGGAAACCACCGTCTACTGTGGCCTTGCTAACCTGTGTCCTGGCTTCCTTGGTCAGCCCCTCCTCATCCTGCATGTTCCTACAGGGGAAATTGAGACAGCAGACAGACCAGATCGTTAGTGATTCTCAGATTCTCTTACCTCACCCTTGCCCTGGGTTCGAACGCTAGGAGGGCTGCAACCTTTCTCCCTGGATAAAGGGAGTCAGAAACCCCGGTGTTTCTCCTCCTAGTTAGGGAAGCTTGAGCAAATAACCTAACCTCCTTAGCTCTCATTTCCCCTCTGCACAATGGAATCCCACTGACATCTTAGAGCCTCTGTGAGGATTAAGTGAGATAAAACCAAGCCTCCCACCCCTGCTAAGCTCTCAATACATTCTACTCAGGGGAAACTGGTTCCCAAAGGTTCCAGGCCTTGGAGATGGGAAGAGGGAGACCCCTCAGGCGGGCTGGCATCCTCTGCTCCACAGTGACTTGGCTGCTCCCTGTTTGGAAGGCTTTTAAAAACCCGTCACGGAGAACGCTGAAGGCAGGTACCAGCCAAGAAAAACGGAGAGGCGGGGCAGGGGAGACAATCACCCGAAAGCGGGGCCTTCGGGAAGGTGGTACCCCACCCCCTACCCGGATGGGAACTGCTAAGCCACGAGGGGCTTGTCTGCCGGTGGGCCAGGTCACCAGGGCTGTGTCATGCTGACTCTGGCCCTGCTGACTTCTCTTGGTGAAGAAGGTGCATGCCTAGCCTTTGTTTCTCGCTGCTCCCCTCAAGGCCTCTCCTCATCCTTTCTCATCCTGGTCTCCAGCTCCCTGACTCTCTCCTTTCACCCTCCTCTTTCTCACTCTCCAGTCAAACCCCCCCCCCCGCACCCGCCCATCCTTCCCGTGAAGCGGATTTCTTGCTTTCTCATCCTTTCTTCTCAAAGCTCACAATCACACTTGGCTGCCTCCCTCCCTCCCTCCCTGTCCTCCTCCACCCCCATCTCTCTCTCTCTTTCTCTCTCTCTCTCTCTCTCTCTCTCTCTCTCTCTCTCTCTCGCTCCCTTCTCCACTTCCTCCTCTTCCCCTCCTGTTTTTCCCCCTCACCCACCCACCCACCTTTTACTCTCCCCTTTCCTCCCTCATCTCTCCCCTCACCTACAGAAGACACCTGAAATCTCCAGATAAACAAAACCAGGTCAAGACCATGCATCAAGCCCTCACCAGTCCTGGTCTGTTAGAGCCTCAGTACCAAGGTCAATGCTGAATGGAAAGTCAGCCAACCCCAACAACCGCCTGGAATGCCCCCTTCTCACCTCCAGAGATTCCTGTGCCAGGTCACCTGCCTCCCACAGACACCTGCCTGGCTCCCAACGCCTGCTGTGTGAATTCCAGGTTAAGCCAGGTCAAAACTGAGTCCCTAGCCTTCCCTGCCACTAGGGAAGAAACTACCTGCAACCTGCAACCTCCTCCTCCCAGTGTGGGGGTTTTAAGGTTCGAAGAGAACAAAAAAAAAAAAAAAAAAAAAAAGAAAGAAAGAAAGAAAGAAAAAATAAAAGAAATTCTTAAATGGCCGGGAAAGGGGTTGTCTCTGTGGGTGAAGCACAATGCCATGCACAAAACAAAACTCAGCCGGCTGAGTTTGAATCTTGATCCTGAATGTTCTTAATTAACGCTGGGTCCAATACCCTTTGTTCCTCAGCATCCACATCTGTAAAATGGGGACTTAAAAGGGCCAGCCTTTACAGGGTTATGGTAAAGATGAGTGAATAAAGGTATGGAGCATTCTTGGCACTGGGTGGGAGGCAGCTCCTAGCCCCGCCCCTCCCTGGGAAAGGGAGGCTTCTTAGGAGTCTTGGAAATAACTGTGATCACACGTTCTTTTCAGTTGACACCAGGTGGTATACTCATCACTTTGAATACACTGTCTTTGAATTCCCCCGACACTCTAGGGGGTAGTTTTTTCCCTCTTATCCCTATCTGAGGAGAGAAGCAGTTGAGGCACAGAAAAGCTAGGCAATTTGACCCTAGTCACACAGCAAAGTGAAGAATTCTTTTTTGGTTTGTTTTGGTTTGGGTTAGTTTGGTTTGGGTTAGTGTAGGCCTGGTTGTCCTGGCACTCTGTAGACCAGGCTGACCTCAAACTCCCAGGGATCCTCCTGTCTCTGCCTCCTGAATGCTGGGATTAAAGACCATTCACCTCAAGTGCTTGGTGGTAGCAAAATTCTTAACACCTGATGCCACTTGGAGTAGCCATGGCAGTGACAGAGATTGTGGAAAGCCGAGGGCAGATCTTTGCACCCAGCTCTAGCTGTTTCTTTGCCCTGGGACTTCACTTGGGAGTTTATGTGGCCTTGGGAGAAGCCCCAGTGAAGGGTGAAGGGCGGGAGGGGCTACAGGGTGGCTAATGATTTCACTCTGCCTTGTGGCATGACTAAAGACAGATCCTAAACATGCATGTCCCCCAGGGGCAGGGGTTGGGAGAGCTGCGTGGTAAACTTAACCTCCCCCCCTTAAAATCACACCCAGCTTTCTAGTCTCCTGTGGACCTCAGTTCCTAGCCTGCCTCAGTTCCTGGCCAATGGCCAGAATTTGTTCAGAGGAGATACAGAAGGTGGGCGTAGGCTTCAGGTTGCCATCTCTGGAGCCCTGGGTCTCTGGTGTGACTTCCTTTCTGCACGAAAAATCCCAAGATTCTCTCCCACCTCTTATACACACCCTGAGTTATGCAATGGAGGTAACTGTTCCTTCGCTAAGGTCTGGAGATTACAAAGGGCTCTGTGGCAGGACCACGGGAGATGGCTTACTAAAGGACCCAAGGGCGATGATGAGAGGCCAGACAGTTCCTATTAGGAAGAGTGGAGCTGGGAGAACTTAAAAGGTGCAAATGCTCCCCCCTCCCTGCCCCTGCAGCCATCCCCACCCATCCACCCCCACCCCTCCAGCCATCTCAGATTACACTGAGCAGTGCTTTCAAATGGAACTCCACAGTTTCCATGGCAACTCAGCCACGTGGTTGCACCTTAGAAGCTGGGGGAAGAGGAAATGAGGAGGTGAAGGGCTGTGGCAGGAGACACAATGCTCCTGGAAGCTGAGGGCAGAGTGAAGCCATCGGTCCACCCGTGTGGTCCCTGCTGCTCCTCGCCCTCATCTCTGGGGCTCCAATGGGAACCTCACGAAACCCCGAATGCAAACAGAAGAGCAGGGACAAAGAAGCAGCTAGAGCAGGTCCCCCAAACATGTCCTTGACCTTTCATTATCCACGCCACTGCCCTAGTCCCCCTCTGCCCCCCCCTCACCCAATTCCCCTTTGGTGTCTATCTGCAGGCTCTTCCACACAGGCTGGGGGCTCTGGGAGCAATTTCCTGGGCTTTAGTCCTCATCTTTACAGAAAGGATGGGCACATCTGCCGTGATGTTTGGGCAAGGGTTTTTGTGAACAAAAATAAACACATGAAGATGACAGCCGCAGAGCTGCCCAGGATGACCCTTGGGTGCTCAGCTCACCTGTGCCATGGGGCCCTGCCATGGTGTACAGAGCCCTGTCTTTCAGAAACTCTGGATTTTCCCTGACATGACCCCAAGCAGGAGACACTGAATGGCCCTTCTCTCCTTCCAAGGATACCAGTTTCCCTGCATGCATTTCTTTCTGCCCTGGGGCCTGGCACGAGCCACTTCCTCCCTTCCAGCCTCCCCCATCGATCAACAGGGGTGATCTGAGAGCTCCCCTCCCCAGCTCTGAAATACTGACTCAACAAATCTCCCTCTACTGCAGCAAATGCTCCCGCCCACACCCCCTCCTCAGCCAGCCTCCCCTCCTCTCCTTTGTCACCTCATGCAGCAGTACTAACACGGCCCAGAGACGGTGGCTTTTTATTATCTTTTCTTTATTTTTTTTTATCAAAGGTTTGGGTTTCTGTTGCTATTAGTTGTTTTTTGTGTTTCGTTTGTTTGTTTTTTTTTTTTTTCCTTTCAAAAATTGTGTCTCCCCTGAGACAGTTCTGGCTCTGAGCAGGCTCTCCTTGTTTCCATGGCAACAGCAGCTGGCTCACATGTGTGGTTGCTATAGAAACTAGGATGGTTCTCTCTTCTCACGTTCTCATGCTTCCTCAACCCCCTCATCACCCCCTCCTTCTTTGGAACTCTTGGGGTGCGAAGAAACGACCCTGAGATGCTCCGAGCACCATGGGAGCCAGCGAGGCCCCTCCTCCCGGCTGGGCAGTCGCATCCTTGACTATTTCTCTGGGCCCAGGAGGTGCTTCTCCAAAAGCTTCCTAGCCTCCACAAAGGGAGGCAGGGGGACACAATCAGCCTCAAGTCCCCCAGAAGAGGGCTCAGTAATAACTACTCTTCTGCTGCTAGGCATGCAGTCAATTTCCAGAATAAAGCCAGCCCAGGTGTGGGCCCTGGAACCTCTCCAGTGATACACCGTGCGCTTCGCTTCTTGCCAATGCAAGGACATAGGCCAGAAAAGGCAGCATTCTGTCTTGGGAGGAAATGGGTGGTGACAGAGCTGGAGAGAGGGTCCGGCAACTAACTGTGTGGTATGAATGTTTCCCATGCTTCCCACTATCAGCAGAAAGGGGAAGCTGTGCTTTCCGGTCATCTGTGAACCCTAAGTGTCTGCAGGAGAGCAAACGGGCAGAGAGAGGAAAAGAGCCAACCCTGAAACACTCACAGTTGACAGACTTGCTTTCTTGTGGGCTTGTTTGAGACAAGGTCTCACTACATCACACACTAGCTGGCCCCAAATTCACTCCTATGTAGACCAGATGGGTCTTGAACTTGGATATCTGCCTGCCTCTGCCTCCCAAGTGCTAGGATTAAAAGCCATGTCTAGCCACAGCAGTTGTTTTTAGGTAGTAATTTTTATTACATTCTTTTTATTTCTTTGGGGAGAGTGCCTGGAGGTGTAGCTCAATTGCAAATCCTTGGCTGTCAGGTACCATGCCCTAGGACCATATTTGTAATCCTAGTAGATTGCAGAGGTAGAGACTGAAGAATCAAAAGTTCAAGATATCCCTCAGGTGCATGGCAAGTTTGAGGCCAGCCTAGGCTGTACGAGACCCTGTCTCAAACAAGAACAAAAAGGAAAGGATGCATATTCTTTCCTTCTTTCTTAGAGGAAAAGGGGAAACAAGATCTGGAAGTGCTCAGAGTCAAGCAATTTTTCTCATTAAATGCTACAGCAGGCAGCAGAACTATTTGATTAACCCATATTGTCATGCGCTGGGGTCCAGAGAAATAAAGTAAATCCCCAGTGATCATGCAGCATTTGGAGTGACAGAGAAGCCAGAGCTTTTGAGCCTGAACAAGAGAGAAATGCTGTCCCCAGTTAAGGGATAAACAAGAGTAAAAGATGCTAGAATATGCCCTGCATTGGACTTGACAGTGGTGCCAGGGGTACATAGACACAGGCCAGTAGCCAAAACAGGCATCCATCCTTTTAGTAACTCAGCCCCCTGAAGGTAAGCGCTGGCACCCTCATCCCTGTGTCCCATTCACCCTGTCCCCCAGGCCTCAGATGGGAATTTGACTCATTAAGAGAATACAGAGTGCCTGAGAGATGTCTGGAAGCTGCCTTGGGACAGACAGTGCCAGAGGGGAAAGTTCCAGCTTGTCTCCTGCCAGGCAGGGCAGGCAAAAGCATTCTCAAGGTCAAAGAAGACGTCATGCAGATCCTTGTCCTCAGCCAAGGGCAAGCTTCTTGGTTTCCTCCCTC